ACCACCACCACCAGCGTTCCCTCTGAGCTGCCTGGCAGCACAGCTTCACAGGTGATAAATCAGCCCTGTCCCGTCAGCATCCTGCAAGGAGCTCTGAGCTTCTGACTATGCCAGGCAGTTTAGAGGGAACGCTTCCCCCCCCTCCCCCACTCCATCTGGCCATGGGGAAGGGAGGGATTGATACACATGCCAGAGGCTCCATAAAAATGGGGGGGTGCCCCCAAATATGTATGCCTCCCATTCCCCACCTGGCACTTAGGGCTTGCCCCTCCGTCAGCATCCTGCAAGGAGCTCTGAGCTTCTGACTATGCCAGGCAGTTTAGAGGGAACGCTTCCCCCCCCTCCCCCACTCCATCTGGCCATGGGGAAGGGAGGGATTGATACACATGCCAGAGGCTCCATAAAAATGGGGGGGTGCCCCCAAATATGTATGCCTCCCATTCCCCACCTGGCACTTAGGGCTTGCCCCTGCTCTGTGTGCTCCTCCTGGGTGCTCCTCCTGGGGAGAGGGGTCAGATAGGGGTTTGCCTTGCTCTGTCGTCCTACCCCCGTGCTCTCACTATGGTCAGGATATGAGTTTGCCCTGTTGCCAACTGGTGGCCCTAGCGGGGGAGCAGGATCAGCGTTTGCTCTGCGCTGCCTAACCAGGCAGAGTCAGGATCTTTACTGGACAGCCAGAGCAAAGCAGTCTGAGCAGGTTGCAGGGTTGGGGCACTGAGCCTTACCCCTCTCTGCTTTCCTGGTGCTCCCAATGGGGAGCTGGGGCTTTTCCCATTCTGCCCCCAAGTGCTCCCAGTGGGTTTGGAGTGCAGAAGTTGCCCCATTCTGCCTGCCTGGTGTTTCCGTCGGGGTGTGGTGCTACAGGCACAAAGCAGGATCAGGGCCTTTCCCTGATTCCCCTCCCCTCTTGGTGCTCCTGTGGGGAGCAAGTTCTGGTCACGGGGGGCTTACAAGCCCCCCCTCTCCACTCCTTGGTAGGAGCACTGGGCACCTGGAGTAGGGCTAGCACCCAACTCCACTCCCCACACCCAGCCGGAGCAGCGGGTGGAGGAGGGCAAGCCTGCACCTCCAGTCTTCAGTTCATCTGTCGAGTGCCCGAGCACTTCAAAATCTGTGTTGCCATCTTGATTTTGTTTATGGGGTATGCTACTGCCTTCTTCAAGCGTTTGGAAACATTTTTCTATGGAAAGGTAACACAATATCTGCTAGGAAAGAGTATTTCAGTTAGACGTGTTGTAAATGAGTTTTTATATTCAGCGTTACCAATGTTCGTTGGGATACCCGAGGCAGAAAAAGGTTGAGTGCATCTCTCGGCTCTAAGTATTTAATCAGTGTTCAAAAGCATCATTGCAAGTTGTGACATAAATCTGAAACTTGTTTATTTAAGTCCTTGCCAGTTGGGGGCACTTACAACAGTTTTTAAGTATTATACAGAAATTATAAATAGAACTGCTAACCATGTGTTTCAGTTCCTTGGATGGAAGAAACTATAATATTGAGATTGCAGCAAGGTTACTAATACAGGTTGTACCTCCCTTAACCGGGATTCTCTGGTCCAGTAACATCCGTGGTCTGGCAGGACCACAGATATTCCTGGACCACAGAGTCCAGGTATAGAGAGGTTTGGCAGCGGGCCAGTTACGCGGCGCGGGGAAAGATGGGACTCACCCCGGAGTCCTGTGGACGGGGGAGGTAGGGCGCAGAGGGGAGTAGCAGGGGGCCAGCAACAGCAGCGCAGCTCCGGCCCTGGCGGCAGTCAGGAAGCTCGGTCCCCAGCCGCACAGCTCCAGCCCTGACCGCAGCCAGGAAACTTCAGCCCCAACTTCACAGCTCCCGCCCCTGCAGCAGTGGGGCTTGTGGGAGCTGGAGAGCTCTGGCCTAGGGAGCGACATCCAGGGAGCAGTGTGTGTGGGGAAGCGGCAGCTTAGCATGGGCCAGGAGGGGAGGGACCTCCCCTGGTCCAGAAATCCCCCTTGTCTGGGCCCAGAGAGGTCCAACCTGTATAACATTTAAAAGATCCTACCAGTTTCAGTACGATCCTATCATACAATTGCTTTTTTTGAAGATTTACTGTATGCTTTCTTAGAGTATTAACTGGCTTCTTTACAATGAAATACTATGTTAGTATAGCTTCTCAACATCTAAAAATGTTAACTCTTTTCTTAATAGTCTTGACAAGTCTTTAGCTCTCTGTTAATGTGTGCATTAATTTAGGAAGGATATACTTTAATATTTACTAACTACGTACTGTGCTCTCTGGCAGCAGTGGGGAAGCAGAAGGGCTGGGAAGAAATGATAACGTCTATGTCATGTTTGTCTGAGTTTTATGCATCTTTAGTTTGTTCATACATGCTTTTTGTTTTTGTTTCCATTATGTTATATAGTCTTATGCCAGTGGCTAGAAGCCGATCTCCATGGCAAGAGCTCAGATACTGCAAACAGAACCTCAGGTAAAAAGGGGGTGTAAAAATCAGAACGCCAAAGCCCTCTGTGCCTTTGTTTTATATTCTCCATCTTATAATTTCCCTTGAATCAATTCAGATTACATATCAATTAAATTTTGCTCCATTAGTTTACAGCTTAACCTGAATCAATATCTATTAAATTTTTTTCTCTAAAGCTCTCTTGGCAGATATGTTTCTCAATTAGAAAAGGACTTGAAGGGAAATCACCACTAAAACTTGGAGTCCTTCCGCATATGCATTAGGTAAAACTTGATTTACCTTCAAGTCTAGTGGTGGAGTCCTTCCGCATATGCATTAGGTATATTTTGTCTGCTTAGTGACAGAATTTTAAAGGCTTCTTTTATGTGAAGTTACTACACCAATACTTTTCTCACCTAATACGCAGGTGTAAAGCAATGTTTTCAAGTTCTCTCCCTGTTCCCACAATTTCTGCTACAGAGGCCCATATTTCTTTTTAATCTACACTGAAAAATGTGCCCCTTTAGACTGTAGGAAATAGGACGTTTAAGGTTAACAGCTAAAAATTTTCCACACAGTGATACAGCATCTGACTCTCTGAAGAGTCTGATTTTCTTGCCTTCACTTAAATGAGATGTTCACATATTTCTATCAAACAGCAAAGTGCAAACGTTGCACTGAATATACAACCTTACTTAACACAGGCTTCCTGATGGATAAATTCATTGTACAGTCTCTTTAATTTTGGTTTTAGAACCATTTGTCTGCCATGGTCCCATCGAGAACTATACAGCAATAGTTCAATGGTAACGAGTATTTGTAGAGCCCCGAGTGGATACAAAAATGTGGCTACGCGTGCACCAGAATCCGCTCATGATAGGCTAGCCATCTTTTATGAGAATCTGTACTCGGAGTAGCAAGAAGTATGACAAGGGCTGGTGGAGGAAGGAGGAGTGGGAGACGGAAGAGCTCCCAAAAGATATCTCTAAAAGAGTTGAGAGATTTTTAATCAACTGCATATAGTTACATTTCTTCAGGGTACAGGGTGTGAAATGAGAGGGCTTTGCTAATTTAATATGTATCTATTTGTCTCCGGCAGATCAGAAGGCTATACAAAAGTAGAGGGGAGATGTATCAGCTGCAGACTGAGGAGATCTCTGTTCCCAGGGTAACTGGGCGGGGCTGGTCTAGAACCAGCAGAAGCAATCAGGGGAAGTGGAATACCTGGGGCTAACTGATCAGGTCTGCAGAGTCAGGCCAGCCTGGGCTGATTAGGACACCTGGGGTTAATTCATTTTATAGTTGAGACTCACTATAAAAGGAGTTTGCCTAAAGTTGGTGGTGCGCATGTAGCTGAGAGGATGGAGGAAAGTGCTTCAGGGCACTTTTTCCGGAGGATCGGGGCCAGTCTAGACGCTCTTTTCCGGCTTTTTTAAAAGCCGGAAAAAAGCGGCGGACATTTTTATTTAAATGCCGCGGGGGATATTTAAATCCCCCGCGGATTTCCCTACGACGACTCGTGAAATTTACATGCCCCTTCCGGAAAAGGGGCCAGTGTAGACGTAGCCTAGGAGGATGAATGGGAGAGAAGGAAGGTTCTGGGTAAAGTGTGGGCAAGTAGCCGCATTCCTGAAAAAATGAGTAAGAATGGCTCTTGCACAGGAGGGGGGTTTTGTGCAAAAAGGTGCCATCTACACGGCTCCTTTTGGTGCAAAAGCCTCTTGCGCAAAAAGGCTGCTAATTAATTATGCAAACGAAGCGCAGAGATATTCCACTCCACACTTCATTTGCATAAGCTTTTCTGGAAGAAGGCTACAGTGTAGACGTAGCCATGGGCAGTTACTATAACAGGGCCCCGGGCTAGAACCCAGAGTAGAGGGTGGGACCAGGTTCCCTCCAATACCCACTTCCCCGTTTCCACTTGGAGAAAAGGATTGTGGAGTTTATTTCCACTTTTACCATACATCGGCCAATGATGAAAAGAGCTCAACAAACAGCAAACTAAAGTCCGAGGTGTGGTGCTGGAAATCGTGAGCTACTGTGAACTGCTGAGACAAACACATCCGCCAAAGAGGGCTGGACCCACAAAGTTTACATAGGAACTTTGTCACAGTCTCCTATAGCTGTGATAGGTAATGTTTGTTTAAAAATCTCAATGATTCTAGTTTTTTGTGTCTGCGTAGTCTCTCCTGAAATGAGACCTACTGATCATGGATGACAGTCTAAGAATTTTTTGGCCTTTACTTGAGTAATTATAACCTGCTCCCTAAATAGACAATAGTACTTCATGTAACAGTTTCACTTTTTATTTAGCAGCAGTGTTAACATATAGCCACTCACTTGTAAATCTGAACTAAACTACATGTAGCAGAAAAAATAAAATGTTATTAATGTTTTAAGCTAAAATTGTCAGAATTATAATTCCATTATAAGTGTCACTGTGTATAATTAAGTATCCCTTCACATTGAAACTTAATATGACCTATTATAGATTAAAATATGCAAGATAATATAAACATTACTCTGATTTATTAACATAATAGTTTAAGGGCTTAATTTAGGGCCAGAATGACAGAGCCCGTTAGTCTATTTGAAGGAAAATGGAATCTCTTATGGAATGCTTTGCAATTAATAGTGTCAGCATCTGGGCCTAGGTGATAAGACACTGGATTCCATTTTAAAAGTGAAGTCAGACAAAATACAGTACATCCTGCTAATTACAGTTTGGAATCTCACACGCTAACACCCTCTAAAATTTACATACTCATTATACTAAATCATAATGCAATAAGTGCCTGAAAATATTGTCAAGTAAAAATCTCTCTCCCTGTTAGGTGTGATGCAGCAGTCCAGTACCACCACTGATGAGAATCATAAGTGTTTGCATATCTCCTCATGTGTGCCAAGAAGGTTCTGCCTGCTGTGACTTAACTTTCCCTCTTTCCTTCTAGAGTGAATTTGATTATTCCATATGAGTTCTGGTGGGAGTTCTTTTTGTAGATGGACTAAATAATGACATTTCACCCTCAGAGTAAAAAGCTTTTTTAAGATGACAGGACAGTCCTCTGCTGTGTCTTCATCAATTGATTTGAAGTTGCTTATAAATGTCCTTGTCCATAAATGTCCTTGTCCATAACCTGTGGTGCTCAAGAACAGCCTTTTGCCAAGGGTGCAATGCTCTAGGCTCTGTCTTGCAATCAGTTGATCAATCCATAAAAATCATTTTGATGTGATTTCTTGGCTGCTTCCTTCTGTCATTCAGTTGTTGTCTATGAAAGCTATACGGTTTTGCCTTTTTTTTTTTCTCTCTCAAGCTATCTTAATAGATAGTAGGCATTGCAGACTTTCTGGAAAGGTAAGTTATTTGTGCCATGTATCTTCTTGGAACATATGGCCTCAATGTCTTCCATTTCTTAGCTCTGACTTTGAGAAACTAGGCTTTCATACATACAAATTGCTTCAAGAATCTCAGATTTTTTTCAGTACAATTGCTGTGCCTCTGATCACTGTAAACACACAAACTCTGTGTATGTTCACTAACTAAATTGGTTAAAAATCCTGAACTTTTGGGATCAATGTCACTTAGATGCAAATTATTGTTATCCCTTCTCACTAGCTTCTGATTTTGTTGTGCCTTTGTGTACTTGATACTGCAGAAAAGAAAACAGAATAAAAAACTCCTGTACATTGCTGTTGAGTCTTTCAGACCTTCGTGAAAAACCTCAAGAGACAATCTCACTGATTTTTGAAATAACTATATAGCTATGTTTGTTTTTGTTTGTGAGTGGGTGATGGTGGCTGGGTAAACCTTTGCTACCGGACATGAAAGAAGGAAAGAATATGGGTTTTGGTTTTGGCTTTTTGAAGGGGGAGTCCTGTGCAATCATTCCTTCAACCTCTTAATGAATGTTCTAGCGTGACCCCCTCCAGCTGAGGTGCTCAGTGTTGCAGTTTTGGATGCAATCAATGCTGCTGTAAGCATTGGCCAAAAGAGAATTTGAAGTGATGCCCTGAGTCGCTACATTTTAAGCCATCTTGTATTGGATAAGGACCTAAATTCAACTCTGTGTAGAAGGGAGTGCATGAGGGAAATGAGTATTACATACTGAATTTGTCAGATGCCTTTAAGTAGGTACATAGACTCAGAGTATTTTACAGGTAGAGTTCTGATACACTTATGCATAAGGTGCTTCAGAAGTGCTGTGTATTACTCTTTGCTCCAGGACTAGTAGGTATCAATGGTTAATTAACCATGAGCTTCTCAACTATAGAATTTGGAGGTATGCAGCTTTTAGTACAGAGGGCATCTTCTAGAGATAAATCCAGCTGTGGCTCTGTTAATGAATGGGCTAGCCACCTGTGATCTTTTGTTGCAAGTGACAAGTGATGCTTTTGAGTTCCTACTTAGAACCCAGCAAATTGACACATATGGCTCTTCAAGATACAGAGGGTATTAAAGCCTTCACTTCCTGTAGCAGGGATTAGGAAATCACTGTTGCAGTGCAGACATGAGGCTGAAGCTGGCAGATACCAGAAAGGACCAGTTGGGGAAAAAGCAATCTGATCCTGAGTCTGTTCTCAACTTGTTCGTATGAACGTCTGTAAAATGTGGCTTATGTTTTCATGTATTTTCATGCCAGTCTTCTCAAGGCTTGCTCAGTGACATGTACCACGAGTGTTGAATTCATTCTTCCTGGGGTAAATTTCCTTTGAAAAAATGTTTTATACTCTTTCATTGTTTCCTGTAGTCGTCAATCTATGACATGTTAGAATGACTTGTATCTTGAATGATTTGGAAATCCCAGTTAAGTGTGGCCCAAGGAATGGAAAATAGATACGTGGATTGCAAGTTGTTGTGGCCACCGACTTATTGAAATATATTAAATTTCTGTATTCAGAAGTTGTTTCTTCCAGGTATTCCTACAACTTGTAAGCCCCAAAGTCATTCAGCTGGAATTTAAGGCAATCAGAAGTCCTAAAACAGATTTCTGCTAGTGGAAAACTGCAGTGTCTCTGTCCTCCATATGTCTTCTCAGGACTAATGTGACCCAGTGCAAAATCATAAATAGGCATTTTAGCACCTAAATCAAGCTAGCCCCTCATTTTTCTGCCTCTGTGTTTTTGTACCTGGGGTTGCTGCCCTGCTTGCCTCCACCCTGGTTATGGCCCTGGCCCAATAGCAGCGAACACTCTGCTTTCAGTTGACAGAGTGGCCAAATACTGAGCATGTGGGTGCCCTTTCTGTAATAGTGAAAGAAAAGCTGCAATACAGTATCTCTCTAGATTAGGACTAAACTCAGGTTTTCTTGAGATTGCTATGTTACCCTACTCCCTGGATTAGTGACTCTGCAAGTGATGTTTTCTCTGTAGTTCTTTTCTGTTTCTGAACAGAAACCTTTTCCCAGAAGTTATTTCTTAGTAAACTTTTTTTCCACCTTTCACTCCCCCTTCAATAGTATCTGAGGGATCAAATGAAGCCATGTGGCTTGATTTTAGCACTGCCTCTGCTGGAGGTATGTAGTGCTTTACACAGATGAGATGAAGGGACCTCCAAGTAGCTATAGATGTAAAAATTGTATTTTTTGTTCTCAAGTAGTTAATGTTAAATGTTCTATAAAATCTTGGAGACTAGGATGCCAGTATATTAATAGTGTCCTGCTGGCAAAGACCAATCATCCATAACTTTTTGTTGATGGATATGGCTGTAGCAGTGTTCTTTCTACCACCATTTTTTTTAGGGGAAACCAATTTTGTCACCCAAATTGACTGAAAAGGACCAATTCTCTGCTATGCCTTGGAAAACATGCACTCTGCTACTGCTTAGGGCAGTAGTAACCAACCAGTAGATCGGAATATACCGGTAGATCTTGGAACCCCTGACAAGTGATCTTGACTGGTTTGGTCAAGAGACTATCAAATACGGGCACTTCAGCTGCCACTCCCCCCACCGCTGTCTTAGAGATTGTCCCCACTCCCAGGAGCCTCCTGCTTGCTGCGCAGAGTAGGGAAGGGAGAGGAGGAGCCACTGATTTCAGGGTGCCCCCTCTCCCACCCTGTATTCTGTCTCCACAGATCGAATGGGGGTGGGGAGGCACAAGGCTTGGGATGGAAGGAGTTTGCTGACTGGTTTGGAGAGTGGTGCAGGGCCAGAACAGGAGTAAGCCTTCTATATCTCCACTATACCAATACCCAGGAGCCCCCTCTTACTCTCTAAGCTCCTGCCCTAGCCCTGAGCCCCCTGGACCCAAACGCCCTTACAGAGCCTGTACTCTGAGCCCCCTCCTGCACCGCAACTCCCTGCCCCAGGCTCAGCTCAGAACCCCTCTCATATACCAAATCCCTTAGCTCAAGACCAGAGCCTGTGCTCCAATCCTCTGCCCCTGACAGGTGAAAGGGAGGGAGTATGGAGGGAGGGAGGATGGAGTGAGCAGGGGCAGGGCCTCAGAGAAAGGGCAGGAAAGAGGTGGGGCAAGGGTATTTGGGTTTGAGGTGGATCCTAGATTGCACTTAAATTCAAAAAGTGATCTTGTGCTTAAAAAGGTTGGAGACCACTGGCTTAGGGTATTGGTTGAAAAGGACAAAATGGAGTTAATTTGAAGGGCAGAAAATATGCCTCAGGCTATAAAGAATGCAGACCTGACTATATTGTTACACCAGAAGGCTTTTGTAAGTCTTCAGCTATTTGTTGTGGGTATCTTTTATCTGGGTAACATCTCCGTTGTCTTTGGCATTGAATTTGAGCATCCAAATCTGAAATAATTATGCTACCATAGTCCTTCAGAAAAGTCTAAGTAGAGCTGTCTGAAATCTTTAAAACAAACAAAAACCAACATCCAAAATCCTTTTTCCCCAAAAACTAACTTTTTTTTCAATGGGAAAAACATTTTTGTGCATTTTCCATATTTAAAAACAAACATACAAAAACAGATTTTTGCACAATAAAATATGTTTATTTTAGTTACGTTTTGATAGTATCTTGATTATGTATTTTGAAAAATGAGGGTGTTTTTAAACCTTTTTGGAGTTTAAACAACTTCAACCTCTTTTCCCCCACAGATTTTCCTTTTCTAATAAGAGGCGAACAGAAAATTGACCTCAGTATCAGCTGTTGGATGCTCATAGGAATTCTAGAAATGTAGGGTTGGAAGGGACCTTAAGAAGCCATCAAATCCAGACCTATGTGCTCAGGCAGGACCCAAGTAGGGCTAAACCATCCCTGAGAGATGTTTGTCTAACCTGTTCTTAGACAGTAGTGGGGATTCCACAACCTTCCTTGGAATTGTACTCCCTTGGAAATATGTGTTCTTAGATAACATAACTAGCTCTCACTTGCTTCAGGTCATAAACTTATTGTCCTATCTTCAGTGCACATGGAGAACAATTGATCACTCACTGTCTTTTTTATAATAGCCCTTAACATACATATTTGAAGACTGGTTTTTTTCAGGTTCCCTGTCAATTTTCTTTTCTCAAGACTAAACATGTCCAGTTTTTTAACCTTTGTTCATGGATCAGACTTTTGAAATGACTTTTAAAATTTTTGATGCTCTCTTCTATACTGTCTCTAGTCTATCCACACGTTTCCACAACTGGTGAGAGCATTCCCACTAAGGCCTCACCAGTGTCAAACGGAGCAGGACTACTGTCTCTTTCATGTAATATCACTATTGATACACCCATGAATGATATTAACCTTTTTCCACAACTATGGTTGACACACCTTCTGTCTGGGATCCACTAAACCCACCAGATCTTTCCCAGCAGAAGTGGGCTGTGCCCACAAAAGCTCATGGTACCATCTACCTGTTTTGTTAATCTATAAAGTGCTACCAGACTATTCACTTGCTGTTTTTTTCTGTAACAGACTAACTCGGCAACCCCTGAAGCTCCTGAGCATATAGGCAGTTACTTGCCATTTTGTAGTTGAGCATTTGATTTATATTTTCCCCCCTTCAGGAGTGATGTGTTTTGACATTTAATAAAGACAAGTGCATCTTGTTGAATTGAGACCAATTTTCCAATTTGTAAGTCATTTTGGAGGACAGGATTAGAATTCAAAATGTTTGCAAGCCCTCCCAGCTTGGTGCCATCTGCAAATTTTATAAGTATACCCCTTCTACACCATTTTCCAAATCATTCAATAAATATATTAAATAGTACCAAACCCAAGACTGAGTCCTGCAGAATACTACTAGCTGTGACCTCTCGGTTTGACAGCACGCCATTGATAATTACTTCTTAACTAGGTTTTTCAACCAGTTATGCACCCTCCTTAAAGTAATTGTATCTAGATCACTTTCCCCTCATTTTCTTCTAGGAATGTCATGTGGGAAATTTTGAAAAGGAGTCACATGCTAAAATGATTTAGGAGCTCAACTATGTAGACTCTTCGCTTTTTAAAATCTTACAGCTAGCGCTGAAAGGGAACACTTTGGAAAAATTGAAAATAATTTAATCTGTAAAATTATTGCCAATCAGTCATTTTTTTAAATTTGTTTATTGATTGTTTAATTATTTGACTGAAGGTCTTTGACTTGATATCGTGACTTTGAGAGAGATGTATTATTAGTACTGTAATTTGTAGATCTAAACAAACCCCTCTTAGATGGGGTTGTGGTGCTTACACAGTAGCTTTCCCTAATGCTGTGCTGTGCCTCTATGGGAAATTGTAGCTTGAGATACTTATTTTTATTTATAGCTTGCCAATTTGGATAGATTTTATTCTTTTATTAGAGGTTTAACTTCAATCTTGATATAGTTTCCATATGTATCAATGTCAAAATCCATCTTTGACATTTGAGATTCAGGAAATAAAGGCTTGATCTTCATATGTCACTTGTGTGGTGGAAGGAAATCAGTCCTTGAGTAATTTGTTTAATATTGTTGAGATGCGTGCATCTTTGTCAATAGCAAGGAGGCACTCAAGTGATATATATATTTTAGTTCATAACTGTTAAATAAAATAGCTGTTAAAGATGGTAGGTTCAGTCAGGTTGAGGTTTTTCTTCAGTGGACTTAGGTAGTAATTCTAAAAACTATATTGAATTCAATTTGAAGTATAATAAATACTAAGCTATGTATTATGTTTGCATATTCTATTTTTTCTTGTAATAATAAGAGTCTGGATCCAAGATAATGAAGGTAAGGTTTTAGCCTCCTATTCTAAATTTCTCATCTGCATCTCTTAAAGAAATGAACCTTTTAAAATGCATAGTAGTCTTTCTATTACTGTGGTCATTCAGTTACAAAATAAAATTGCAGACAAGTTTATTTTGAAATGACTTTATTTTTTGACAAGTTCTTGCTTCCTAATCTGTTCCAGGAGAGAACTTTGACCAGAGCCCCTTAAGAAGAACTTTCAAGTCCAAAGTTTTGGCACACTACCCTCAGAATATAGAATGGAACCCCTTTGATCAAGATGCCGTAAACATGGTATGTATGCTGGCTCTTCCTTCACACATCTTTGTTTCTTAATAGATATATTTAACTCTGAAATAGCCGTCTCATTTATTAAAACAGCAGTGATGATAATGGAGAATAGGAAAGTCAGAGAGTCATAATGTTTAGAAACCAAAACCTAGTGAGGAAAATTGGAACCTGTCCGTTTGTGCACCTTGAGTGTATGTAGAACAATTGTGACCAAGAAAAAATTTGAAAAATAACTTGCTAAGGATGAAGGGGAAAAAAAAGTCTGTTTTAAGTACATCAGAAGTCAGAAGCCTACCAAACAGGCAGTGGAGCCAGTAGATGACAAGTGCTAAAGAGCACTCAAGGATGTCAAGGCCATGGAAGAGAAGCTAAATGAGTATTGGGGTTTTTTGCATTGGTGTTCACTGCAGAGCATGTGGGAGAGATGCCCAAATAGCTCAGATTCATTACCAGCATTATTCATTACCAACCTGGCTGGGGGGCGGGGTATGACAGAGATCTATAAAATCATGAAAGGTGTGCAAAAAGTGAGTAGGAAAGTGTTTGCAATTGCATATACTACAAAAACAAGGGCTCACCTGGTGAAATTAACAGGGAGGGGCTACGTCTACACTAAGGATTTTTGCTCAAAAAACCTGCAGAGCATCCACACTTCAAGTGCGTTTTTGCGCAAGAAAATTTACAGTAGAATAGCAGAGGGCTTTTTGCAGTGTAGGTATACTTCTTTCTACGAAGAATAACTCCTTTTTTCACAAGAGCAAAAAAGGTGTGTATGGACGCTCAACAGGGGTTTCTTGCACAAAAAGCACAGGTGATCTGATGGCCATTCACAGAATGGCCATCAGAACTTTCTTGCACAAGAGTGTTGTCTATGCCATGTGGACACTCTCTTGTACAAAAGCGCATCACTTTTGAGGTGTGGACGTGCTTTTGTGCACAAAGTTTTTGCAGAAGATCTTTCACAAAAAGCTTCTTGCACAAAAACCCTGCAGGGTAGACAAAGCCAGGAGGTTTAATAAAAACAGTTGCTTTTTCTTTCAAAGTACAGTTATCTTGTAGAACTCCTTCCCATGGGATATTGTGGTGCCATATGTATAAATGGGCTTAAAAAAAATTGGATAGATTAATGGAAGATGGGTCCATCAATGACTGTTAGCAGAGATGATCAGGGATGCACCTTCATGCTCAGGGAGACCTTAAATCTCTGCTAGAAGCTGGGAGGGGAAAGACAAGTGAATAATTTCAATTACCCTGCTCTGCTCACTGCCCCTGAACTAGATGGGCCATTGGTTTTGGCCCAATATGGCTGTTACGGTCTTGTTGATCTACAGTGGTTTAATCCTTTTGTTGTTACGGGATGGGCTTCAGTATGCATGCTAATGGAAGTGCTATGAAGGAAGGAGATCTCAAATATCTGAAAATTTCTGTAAAAAAGAGTGAAATGGAGTTTGAGAGATACTAATTTTAAACTAGTATTCATGACTGTTAGTATGTGATGAAACTAGTCTGCCATACTGTGTAGTGAACTGTCAGAAGAAAATTTTGTTACTTATTATCAAGGGGGAAAAGTCTAGGAGAAATGATCTAACATAATAAAAATAACGGTCTTTCCATATGGATTACCTGCAAATATTACTTTTTTTTAAAAAAGGTAAAGAGAAAATGCTTAATAAAGGAGGAGGAATATAATAAGGGGGTGTGTCAGCCAAGTGAAGGAGCGGAATCCTTCCTAAAAGGCTGCAATATTGCAATGTTGTAGCCAATAGAATGTGAGAATTCTTAATGGCACCTTGTCACGGGGTACGCTACTCACTGGCAGACTGGTGCCGCCTCTAATGATACCATGGTGAGTATATACAGGCAGTGATGAGACTAATGATGCTACATTAGTCATCTTGCACACTGTCTGGATTTCAGTATCTGTTACATCCATAAGTGCAAAGCAGTGGAAACAGTGCAAGAGTTCTAATACATCTCTGTAATATCTTGCACGTTCATTAGATTGAAAGAATCAAGACAGTTTGTATAGCAATACTAAGCAACTGCGTAAGTCGCTTCTGCCAGCCCATTTAGAGGCGAGGCTGTTAATGTTTCTCTGAGAGAGTAAAATATGCAAGAGGCAATAAAAACTGTTGTCAGAAAACTGGGATGGTATTGTGTACTATATATACATGCGCCCTTGCCCCTGTGCTCTCACACATGCCTTGCTCCATCCCTGCCTTCCTCATGCCCACCCCTTCTTTCAAGCCTTCTCCCAGCGCCTCCCCCTCCTCCCTCTAGCCCCCAGTGCCCTTACCCTCTCCTCTCCCAGCATCACCCTGTCTCCCCCTCCCACTGACACCTCCCCTCCTGCTCTTTTCCTCATTGTCTGCACTTGGGCCCCTGGGATTTCTCTCCTGCACCCCTGTCCCTTGGTGCCTTCCCCTTTTTTCTTCTTCTTCTCCTGACCCCCTCCCCTCCCCACAGCCCAGACCAGCCGCTTCCCCTCCCCCTTTTTGTTGTCTTTTACACGTTTGCATTTTGCAATGGGTTTTTTTGTTTGTTTTCATTTTTGTCCCAGCATTTTAGCCCTATAAATAGCATTTTCAATTTTTTTCCATAAAGGCAAAGGCGCGTCAAGTAAACTCCTCCTTTCCCTCGCTGCTGGGTCACAGCAGCCTGTTCCCTGCCCTGTCCAGCTTCTCCCTATGGACAAGCACCCCTCACTCCCAACGTACAGGGGAAACAAGGTGCAGGGACAGCACAGAGCCAGAGGGGTGCGGGGGACAGGGGTGACGTGGGGAACAGGAGGCACAGAGGCAGAGGGACGAAGGGATCGGGTGGAGCAGTGCTGGGTGTGGTGGAGTCACGGGGAATGGGACACGGGGAACAGGAGGGGCAGAGGAATCTGGGTCATGGGGCAGTGCAGGGAACGGGCAGCACAGAGCTGGAATGGGGGGTAGCGCAGGGATCGGGCAGAGCAGGTTGCAAGGGTGGCACAGAGCCAGAGGGAGAGCAGGGGATCTGGGGTGGAGGGGCGGCGTGGGGAATGGGTGGCAGGAGCCAGATGGGGCACGGGGCGGGTGCAGTGAGCCGGGTGGTCGGCAGGGAGCGGTCTCTCACCAGCGAGGGGCTGGGGCTGTGGCAGGGCCAGGGGCCCGCGGGGTGGGGCCGG